CCCTTACCATCATATTAAACTATTCTACATTTGCATTACTGTATTTCTTTTCTTTCAAAAAAACAAAAAAGTAAACATCATTTCAATTCCATTTATTTCTATTATGCTATTTTGCAAAACTTAGAAGAGATTGTTTGTTGATCATTTTTGATGATCTATTAATTCGGTTCTTAATCAGCTATTCAGACAAAGTTTTCCATGTCATTTTGTTGTTGAACACCAGATGAATTAAATTTATTATATCATGTTGATAAAATATATCATCAATTACTGTATCAAACAACATTGTAAATCACAGAAAAAAAAAATCAAGCTAGCAGACATATTTATATATTTATAAATGGTCAGTATCGCGCTACATTGCATACCCATTGCCCAATCATCTCTTGAACATTCGTTTTATTTAACATACTCTCATTTTTTTTTCAATTTTAAACCTACCGCATCCACTTAATCTTCATTTTAAAAATTTTATTGACGTCATTCAGGGGTGAAAACATTTTTCACATTGGAACTCTTTACAATGTTTATTTTCTACCTTCCTTCTATTACGATTATCTTGATAGATTTTCAAATATTATACTGAAATTTGAACGCTTTAAGGTTAATTGACCTGTTTAATGCCTGCCTATTCATTTTGACTCAATTGTTTCTACTACATCAATATTTTTACTTTTGTTTTTGTTTCTTTTTTTTTTAATCACAGAAATCATTTTCAATGACTGCAAAAAGAAAAAAAAAATTCAATTTAAAATTAACAAAATAAATGGTAGCTAGAAGAGATACAGAGATAAGTTTTGTAATAGTGATGTTGATGATAGTTGAACGTAATGATATGATCATCATTTCCATCATCATCTATGTGCGTATGTATATATATATGTGTGTGTGTGTGTGCATACAAAATACATTGTTATCACAGCTGATGCTAATGGCTTAAAGTAGCTCATTGCGAATTAAAATTCTGTTTATTGGTTATCATTCATATATATATATATGTGGATTTAATTTCTGATTTAAATAGTACTAAAATACGAAAATTGACTGATTGACCATAGCTTAACAATGCTTGGAACAACTATTGCCATAACACTCACAGACGAATTTATTTCATTTCAATCATTTACTTCCGTTGTGCTGCTAAGATATTCTTTGCAGTGCCAATAGCTCGTGAGCTCAAATGTTCGTGCTTAGCTCTAAAGTCTCATCACTAACAGCAACTGCTGTCTGTTGCCTCTTCATATTGAGTTAAACAATTTGGATCAGATTGTTTTGCTGTTTACAAAATCTTTTCATAATTTTTTGGCTCTTTTCTTTCTTTCCATGCTTCTTATGAATTTCCTTCATTTCAATGAATTGCTGCTGCGAATCTGTTAAGTGTATTTCTTCTTTTCAATCGACAAATAATGCTTCTTTCAAAATGGATACAGTAATTGCTATCTAGAGGTAATACCTTGATTAATTATTATCGTTTGATACGATATTATGATAATTGAGTAGCTATCCTGATTTAAATGATTGAAATCCATGTGGGTGATGTTATTTCTTAATTTGGTTCCACTTTATATTCTATCTTTTTGATTATGAAATTCGTATAAAGCAATTTTTTTTTAGCTGTATATCATATATTTGGTTAAACAAATGATCAACAAAATTTACTGATTTATATGGTGAATCATGTTGGTGTTACAAATCTCGGGCAATAATTTAACGGATTTTTTCAAGTTCATTAATTCAAAATATGTATTGTAATTTGATGTCAAAACATCACGTCTTCTAAACATCAACAATGTATGATCGACTGTAAATGATCGGAATGATATGGACAAGGAAGAAAATGACCAACTGGCTAATTTGTCATAAAATTGTAAGATCAAATAATCAGTTTAATTGAATTTGATGCATAACTAACTCTTTCTATTCAATTTGTCTTATTACTTATTTGCAACTCAATAACAATCCAAAAAAAAAGAAGTTGGAATATTTGATAAATTTTGATAATATCTGTGTACTTTTCTGTACAATATTCCCTTTTTTTCTTTTGATTGATATCCAAATTAAAATCTTAATCAATTCTAATTAAGAACAGATTATGTTAAAATTAGAAAAACTTGTTATATCTTTGTTTCATCTTTTGTTCACTGATTTTTTTCTTTTTGTTCTTTAATTATTAGCTGTTTATTTCACTATTCCAGTTGTTCATGAATTATTAACATAAACATTAAACAGCACGTTATTGCTGATAATGTGTTTCTCATTGTTGTTGATTATTTCATGAGCAAAATTGATGGCTACACTTAATCGTAATCATATCATTTTCAAATTTTTAATTTTCATTGATTAATTCGATTTTAATTCTTTAAATGCTTTTTCAAATGTTCAATTTTTCAAAAATCAGTTTCAGAATCAAACGTTCATTTAACTCACTTGATCCTTACATGGTATAATTAGCTCAACCAATTAATTAAAAGCCATCTTCTGAATTTAATTTTTAAATATTCTAAGAGATTAAGAATTGACAATATTCAGTTCAGGATTTTTATACATATTTTTGTTTTAGTTTAATCAATTACAAGATCAACTTGTTCCACCATGAACTGTAAATAAAGCATTAAAGTCAGAATCATTATTTTTTAAGTTATATTATTTAATTAATTATTACTTCTTGGTATTCATATTTAGCTGCAATTCATCCCGTCATTTAATTTAACTTTAGATTAGTTTCTAGTTATTCTAAAATATGGTTAATTAACTATTGGTTAGAAGTTAATTTCTTGTAAGCAGCAAGTGTTTTAAAATCGAAGAAGAAACGATATTGAACTTATCACAGTCTTTTTTTTTATATGTATACTTCTTGGATTTTCATAATTACTGGATATTTTTGGACATACTTACTTCATTTAATTTCTTTTTAATGAATTTATGTTCTGATAAATTAATAAACAGTTATTCTTATCTTTTCCGTCGATTTAAATCATCATTCTCATAAGCAGTAACATTCAAACATTTGTTCAACTCAAATTTTGGCAATTTTTGGATCTGTCCGGCTTTTCACAAATTTGAAATGCTTTAGATTGTTATAGATTGCGCTGTATGGTGTTTTTTATATATTATCAAATTTTAAATAAGTATTTATTTAATAATTGAATTCGTCCCTCTAATATACATCAAAGGTAATGGATTTTCAGCCACTTTTAATTTTATCTATGTTAAAAATTACTCAATAATTTAAATAAATAAATAGATACCACTCATAGAATTTAATAAAGCAATTTATTGTTTCCTTTGATATACTAATTTTGTGCAAAGAGAGAAGAGCAACATATGATATTAATGACTAACAACTGTTCCAATAATGATTCATTAAGTAATATTATACACTGCTCACAATAACTGAACGAAAACACCATAAAGCATTGAAATATTAATTTCTCAAAAATGCATCGAAATTTAAGTGTTCATGGTTATAAAGATATTTTCGGAAGTCTTGCAAGAGTAACGATTGGTTAGTGGTCATTTGTTTCTTTCTGGGAGTTTCACTTAACTATAGGATATTAAAGTATGAAAAAATCCTAAAATGGCACTCCATCATATTAACTATATTACAGCTAAAAGTAATTTTTCTGTGTTTGCCTCTCTCATCCATTAAACCACTGCACAATCTTTGCGGAATTGTCTCTAACATTGGCTGAGTAAGACTCAATCCCGTTTTATCTTCTGATTTTTTGGAAATAGTCCTTAGTTTAGTGAAGGTTTCTGTGGAGAAGTGTTTGTTGTGGACGGTGCATTTTGGAATCGTTACAGTGGTAGGCGTTGGGGTCATTTGATTGTCCTTTGGTAAAGTGAGAAGAATGACTTTTTCGTTGCAGGTGTGGTGGAATTGGGGGTAAATGTTGCACTTTGTACATACATCAAAACAAATAGTCTAAAGTGACAGGCAGCAATAAGTAGAAGAATGTCTCATTCTTAATGCTATTTCCCAGTTTTACTTGATAATAGAATATCTCCTTCGATTTTATAATTCATATCTCATTTTGCGCCAAGTTAAATCCACTTCAATCATTATTACGGATGCATTGCTTCTGTAGTACTTAATTTCGATTTGCGTTTCAAAATAATTAAAAATTTTCGTTAAGCACAAAGCACAGCCAAAGAAGAAGAATTAAACTTCGATTAATTATATAAAGAAAAATGGAACAAATGTTAATGAAATGAGAAAAAACCACATAAAATTTGCTACGATGTTTCCTGGTTATCTTCGTTTACGCAGCAAATTGAAATTGATTTGATAATCTTTGTGAAAATTAGGTAAATCCTGGCAAAGAGATGAACGAATAATATATGGATTAACAGGTAGTAGCAAATAATGTGGATTTCTCAGAAGAGGTCTGGTTTATAAATAACATGACTGGTTAGATAATAATAGCTGAAATAAAAATCGAAAAGTGGTAAGAATCATTCTCTGAAATATTTTTTTATTTTAATTAATATGAAATATTTCTTATTGTTTCTTTTTGTGAAATAAATATGCAATTAATATTACCAATGAAATTAAATGCTGAAATGTGCAACATTTTTTACATTTAAAACATGAAGACATAATATCACAAAACCATTTTTTTTTTCTTGGAATGAAGGCAAAATTTGGACAAAATTTTCTGTAAAAAATAATTTTACAGCTGCAACTTCTTTTTGATTTTTTTATTTTTATTTTTAGCAGTTATCTTTAATTCGAAACTTGCCAAAATTCGACGAAGGTGTTAAACTTAAATGAATATGATGCACGAAAATCACATATAATACTTTCAATTTATCAAAATTAAAACTGCATATTTTTAATTGCTGTTTGAAATTATGTATTAAATATATTTATGTACAATTGAATGGAATTTTTTATTTTCGTTCAAATTAATGAATAATATAATAAATTCCAAACATGAAAATAAGAAAGGAAATACAGAGTTATTAGGAATTAGTGATATTTTAGAGTCACATTTAATTTATGTTGGATTTTTAGCGATATAATCTTTAACGAATTGAGGATATTCATAGGGCCATTCACGGCATTGCACATTATTTTGCAATTCTAATCGATCCAGATAAATTTCACCGACATTATATCTCATATTTTTTAGATCACTGCGAATTCTGTACATGATATTTGTAAAGCAGTTCTGAAATACATTACATATCAATAAATATCGTTCAATTTCTTGAAGAAAGTGTCAATTTTTTGAAACTGTCCACAATCTGCATTTTCAATTTCAAATTTGATATGAAAATATTTGAAATTTAAAAATTTATATTTGCATACTTTCATTATATAAGTTAATAAAAGTGAAGGATGCTGCCAACAATGACCTACGGATGACAAAAAAAATCATTTTCCAATATGCAGAATGACAGAGAGTAGGAGATGATGTTGGAATCATAAGTGTACGATGTACTGCAAATTTTGCAGGTATATTTATTTATTTATAACTCAGTCACTGTCAATAGAAGAAAAATGTATTCTGATGGATAACGTGGATTGCTCATCTGTCGAAAAAAATACATTGCTTTAAAATATATATACACTAAGCTCATATTCATTAAAATAACCGATTCATTTAATGCTAAAAATTCTTTGTTGGACATCATTCATTACCACTTTGCAAGGAGTTCAATTGAGACATTTAACTTCTTTTAAACATTTCTTAAAAACCAATGTGCTTGTATTTCGCAGCGCTACAATTTACTTCCCATCAAATCATTCAAATTACAATCTAACAATTACTCAAATTTCAATCAAATTTTCTCAAAGTAAAATCTATCCGGTCAATTGAATATATATTTATTATAGCAATTGCTAGGAACCCCAACAAACCTTCACGACGTATTTTCCTGTACCATAATCAGCTATTCTTACATAAAAATGATGAAAGAATTATTAAACTTAATTTTAAAATAATTAAATAATCAAAAACAGAAAATAGGTCTGAAAATGCTACGTATTCAGTGGGTATGTCAGTAAATTAGAATAGAAACTATATCAGCAATTAAATTTTCATTGTGTTTGTAGTTGTGAAATCTTGATGAATAAAGAAAAAATTTTTTTTTACATTATTATTAAACATCTGAAGAATGATTAATTTTCTGTTAGGCTAACAAAATTTCAAAATCTTCTAACCCGATACTTTTTCCGTTTTGAATTTGGCAAACAATGGTGAGTAATATTCAATAACAACAGATCCGTTATAATATATCTGCGACCGACGATCTCGAAATAACCATCACGGTCAGAAAGTTTGTAGTCGCTAATTCGTAATTTACCGTATTTCTTACCTTCTTCTGCCTCATCTTAAAATTATATATATTTATTAAAATTATTAGTTTCAATTTTACTGTTACGTAATGTGATCGTTGCGTAATATTAATATGAGTTACTTATAATAGTGACAGATGATGAAAGTGAATAATATTGTGACAAAGGATGGATAATGATTATAATATGTGATGTATGATAAGTAATAAAATATAGAGTTGATACGTGGTGGGTAAACGTAAGCAAGGATGATGCTTACGGTAATAATAATCTTTAATCATCATTGAATTTGTATTTCATAATCGGTAAAGAAAAATGCTATGTATAAATTTATGAATACAAAGAAGAGAATTTGCAATTACTGGAAGATTGAAGGACAAGTTTCTTTGTCATTTGCTACGTCATTCTCTTCTACAAAAAAAGAAAATTTTGTTTTAATGATCAAGGGAAATTTTCTATGATTTTTAAAATCAGTTTTATATAATGATAAAACTACATTCACGGAAATTTCAGACAAAGAAATAAAAACATAATTTTACTAATAAATAAACCTGGAAGTTAAAAAAGGGTAAAAGTAGGTAGTTTAGATTTAAAAATTACGAAAAACAAACATGGAACTTCTTCCACGATATTAATAAGCACTGCATAGGCTGACACACGATTGCAAAACATTACTCCGGAAATATTAACTGGCACCGGAACTCTGATTTTACTTCTCGGAACATCATCCGTAACTGATTTACCGACTATTGATGATATAAACACAGGGAATAATAACATATATGGGTGAGATATCATATTTATCTAAATTAATTAAACACTACATGCAGATGATAAATCTAAAATATTTATTTATAAAACAAAGTCTGTGTGAAATCATCTAATGCATCAAATTTAGTATCAGAAATTGGAAGAATTATAAAAATTGCAATAATGAATGCATTGCGATATGCAACTTAAATTGGAAATCACATCATTCACATTCATCTTATCACAAATAACATATGCGCTTACTAACCGTTAGACTTAAAAAATCATTTTAATTCAACCGTTCGCTATGTCAATTTGTCATAAATTCCGGATATTAATGAAAAATCCGTTCAGATAATTTTTCCGTCCAATGCAAATTTTTTTCTTTAATAGAAATACTTGTCTGAATGTTTCGTTTTTTTGTTTTCAATAAATCAGAAATGGTTCAATATATAAATTAATATAGGATTTATCGATTTCATATGGGTAATTTAATTTATTGTGATGGAATTAGAACAACAATCATCTCCGAAGAACTTAATTTATTACGGAAAGTAATAAATCAGACGAATAATGCTTCAATAATGACATTTAGAAAAAAGAAAAGTATTTTCTAGATGCACGCTTACACGATTATGTAAACTCGTCTCAGTGCTTTTTAATCATTTATGTTGATTGCAAGATGTAATAATATACCAAAATTAACGTGAATTAACAAAGCATTACGTAAATACTTCATAGTTGCACCTGTGAAATTCATTATTTGTAAAACGTAAACAACTCAATGATAAATAGCAAATGGCATTAAGTAAAAGAATTTAATACATAGCAATTAGTTTTTGATTTTTGATTTCGAAGGAAAAAAGCCATTGATTGATGATTCTTCAATATAGCAATTGTCATTGGTCGTTATTCATGATTTTTTTATAAAACCTTTTTTTTGCAATCTTTGCCAACAAAAATTAATTAGCCGAAAACAGTGTTTCCAGTTCATTAAACCTATGATAGTGATGCTAACCTTAGATATTTGCAATTTCAGGAAAATGAAAAAATGAAATTTAAAAATAAAAAAATTGTTTTAAACTTCTTTACAAGTTTTATGAATTTAAATTCGTAGATTTATTTGAATAATATAATTTGTTTCATATAGTAGCAGTATAATCTAAATAAACATTTAGAAATTAGATTTCTGGTCAGAATCGAGAATAATGGTTGATGATAAAACATTGTGACAAATGTGTATTGTGTGCGTTACAACAATTTATATTTTGTAACAGAACATTTTTTTCTGAAATTTAACTGACCAAAAATTTTATTTATTTTTTATATTAAATTATATAATGTAAAAATCATGAGCAATTTAACTTATTGCGATGAAGTCAGAGTCTTTTTTTATTAGTGAATCATATTACAGTTGAAGTATCCAGTCAATTAATTAAAAACATTATAAATTGAAAAATTAGGGATTGTTAAAAATCCATCTTCTGGGATCAAATGGATAATAAAACCAACCACCGAAATCAAATCCTATATTTTCATAATCTCTTCTGCGATTACGGTTCGATTCAGGTTTGCGACTATCACTCTCATCTAATCTACCAAAATAACCAAATCCTCCAATAAAACCGTATGCGTCGGGACGATTCCTACGCTTCTCTTTGCTGTTGGATCTGCGAATTTCATCACTTCTACGCATCCCACTATTTCCGTTATTATTCAATGACTGAAAATTATAGGTGGTTAAATTTAAATAATTTGGAATTAGTTATTCTTAGCAGATAGTTTATAAATATATCTGGAAAAACTCGAACGATATTCAAAAAGAATTTAAATATTGATATAAAGGAGAAATTACAAAAACGCATACCCCATCTCCTACTATGTTATCATTAAAAGAATTGTACACTTGACTAATAATCACTGGTACGATAATTTGTAATCTGAAATTACTAGCGTTTATTTTAATATCTATTTTAAATTCTAAAAATGAAAATTTTGAAATAACTTCAATTGGAAGAAAGTAAAAGCATTCCATCCATTCAAATGCATAAAATATATCACTTTATTTGCTTTGATTTTTTTTAAAGTAAAAGTAATCCAAAAATATCAAAGAATGAAAAAAAAAAACTTACAGAAACAATGAAACTAAGAATTTTGTCATTTCTTTGTTGTTCTTAAGAAGAATCAAAAGATTTGATTGTTTTGATATAAGTTGAAGAAATGAGTAGAACAGTCAAATCATTCAGTCAAATTACAAACGATTTTATAGGGTGCAACATCAAGAAGCGATCATTAATTTAATTACATATTTGGCAAATTACCTTGAAAAGGTAAAATAAAAAGTTCTTCCAGCCATTGTTTTGTAAAAATGTTCCTTCTAATATGTCATCAAAAAATATTCTCATGGAAAAAAAAATATAAAAAATGATAAGGATGAAAGATTTCAATTACAAATTTTCTCTATTATCAAATATTATGAATAAAAACTAAAAATCATAGAAGCATAACGCTTTCTACAGAAAACTAAGACTAAATTGCTTGTTTCATTTAATAAAATTTATTAAAGTATTCACTAAATTCTCCTTTATGAAGTGATAAGATGCAAATATTTTGCTAAAAATAATTTTTTTTTTTTTTTTGTATGATATTACAGTTATTTTTAGCTAATAATTTCCGCTTTTTTCCCACAACATTTATCATTGTCTAATTAAAAAACAAAAAAAAAAAAAAAAAAGGAAATTTAACAAAAATGGAAAAAGTTGAACATAATAATTTCTTCCTTTTCCGCTTGTTTAACCAAAATACCGGTTTCAAAAATTTTTGATAATGGCTTTTTTCTTGTTGATTCATCATCATATGTGAGAAGAAAAAACGAAGCACTATTAATGGGCAAAAATTATTTACCTATTCTTGAAAGTTAAAAAAAAAAAATAGTTGTTCCTTAAGTTGCTCCTTAGCAATTATAAATTTCCATTAGAATTAAAAAGGATTAAAAATTTTCATCAGAATTAAAAATTTATTTTTAATGCCTTTTCCTCTTTTTTTTTCTACTTTTTATTACGATCCCCAGTTTCTATAAAATGAATAAATTGAGCAAATAGATGAGAATAAATTTGAATTTAAAAATTTAAAAGAACTTTTATTACTTCATTTATTACATGAATTCTGTGAATTTCTGTAATGTAATTATTTAGATCAATTATTAGAAAAATACTTATACAAATGATAATAATAAGTCTAACGCTTTGCGATTTTCTTCTCATTTTATTTTTTATTTTTGGGAAAACAATGATGACCTTAAATCTTGACCGTTTAATTCTCCCATAATTGGATAATAGTGGAAAATGCTTTTTACATATGTTTATTTCATTTAAATTTATGTTAAATATGGAAATGAAATCAAACTTAATAGATTTCTTAATTTTAATTAAAAAACGATAAATAATGTGCAGTGATATTAATTATGAAAAACAGCTTTTTTTTCGTTTTAGAAAAGTAATGATAAACTTGAAATCAAGGATAATAACACAAAAAATCTTTGCGAAAAGTTTTATGGGTTACTGAAAAAAATGGAAACCAAATTTTAAGAAATAATGATTTTGCCTATTATAAATATTTAGATGAAATAGCTGAAAAATCATGACGCTAAAGCTAAAATAATCTGTTCAATTTCTCTGAATTAAATTCAAATAAATAATTAATTTGTCATATTATTTGTCAATGAACAATACAATATGTGATAATAAGATATTGTACGTATAACAGTTATTGCATGCACTGGTAATTAAATCGGATGAGATTCCGGATCCTGTTTTCTTTAAATAGCAGACAAATTTAGATGGTAGAAAATCTTTATTTTTAAATCTTTTTTTTTTATCACACTTAAACCAAAGTAAGCAGGCAGTATAAATGATATTTTCGATTAAAATAATAATGCGTTTAATACCAAAAAGTGAATACTTTCTTTTTACTACCGTTTCACTCTAATCCTTACTTTCAGTCTCATTTATTTTATTCTCGTTTTATCTATTTTTTATTTTTTAATCTGCGTGAAAGCTTCTTCATGAATCATTTAAATTTCCAATGTATGACATTTTATTACATTTTTCCTAGATATCCTCATTTGCAACCTATCGGGAAATTACATATGGTTAAACGGATTGATCATTCAATAATAAAAACGTAATAATCTTAGTTTACACGAATTTTTTTAATAAAAGTTTGCATCTATAACAAAAAAGTTGCTATCATCAAAAAAGTTCTAAGAAGACAAATCAGAATTGTTGTGTAAACATTATCATGATTAAATAAGTAGTAATATTAGAAATAAAATGATAATAATGTGACAGTAGCAAGAATAATGATTGCAATGATGATAATAAATAGAGCTAATAAGTTTATTTTATATAAAAATAAATTAAAACCTAAAGTTATGCGTCCTGCAAAGAATTAAATTAGCAATTTAGGCTAAATTATAAGCGACTGATTAATTTGATGTGACATAATTTTTTCTTTTATAGTTTTAATTAGTAATGATATTTTATCAAAATCGTTTAACGATTATTGTTCTGATAGAGCATCACCCAATTATTTTTCTTTTGCACTGCCCGCCTTCTAGTGTCACTTACTTCCTCCTCAGTATTTCTTAAACTTATTAACCTTTCGTCTCGAATTGTTTGGAAATCTTTTTTTTTTTTCTCCTTTTATTATTATTTGCAAAAATTTATTATACTTACCAATACTTTCCCTGACAATTTCTTTATTTTTGATAAAAAAAAGCGAATGATTAATTAAACAACTAAGTAAGCATAATAATTTTTATTGATAAGGTCTTTGTAAAAATTTTTGATACTGATATGATAAGTTTAGTATTGAAGAATGAATAATTACAATATAATCTTTTCAATGTATTTTTTGTAAGTATTGAATTAAATTTCTTAACAAACTACGCTATTGTGGAGTAATTTTCACAAACTTTGATTTTTTGCATTACAATGAAAAGTTATTTGAACAGTCTTTTCTTTTATTCT